AATATCTGCCTTTTAATTTACGCCGATATTATTGTATTATTTTAGCAACAGAAAATCAGAAAATCTCATCTCCCATCGAAGGTTGTTGTTTTGAATTCTATCTATTCTATCTATTACCGTGGAGGACGAGTGATGTCTGGCTGTGATCGGCGGCGCAGGCGAAGCCGCTCCGTGCGTCGTAGTGTCCACGGCAGGGCTGTTCGACCTCTGGCTGTTGCCCGGGCTGTGCGTAGTGGTATCCGGCGGCGAACCTTGCCTCATCATGGCCGACTGAGCCATGTTCGCTTGATTCGCGGCCGTTTGAGTGGAAACAGAGTGTCTGGCCATCAGTGGACTGTGCTGGTCGCTCTGTTGAGCCGTTTTCTCAACGACGGTCGTGCTGCTGCTGGCAAGGACGTACTGTTGCTGCTCAACGTTCTGCTCCGAGGACGGTGAATTCACGCTGCTCTTCGGCGACGTGGGCGCCTTTCCTTGAATCATCCCGGAGCTCAGTATGTACGACTGATTGTGGTCGATGTTCAGCGACGGGTCGACGGCGGTTCCGTTCGAGGCAGCAGCTTGAAAGTTTGGTATCTGATTGTTCGACACCATGGTCGTTTGTTGCTGCACGATCGTCGTGTTCTGCTGGACGAACGTTGTGTTTTGCTGATTCGGCGCCGACGAGACAGCGATGTTCTGCGTGGTCCCGCAAGGCACCATCAACGTCTGCCCGTTCATCTGTATGAACTCCTGCTGGCCCTGCATGTTCGTTGGTCGAACCTGCGAGGCGTTGAAAGTCACCTGCTGGTTCGGGCTGACGTTCGCCACTATAGGGCTCAGTTGATTCCCAAACGACGTTGTCCCGTTCACCAAGAATTGGCCGCTGTTCGGCGAGAGGAACTGCGCGCCGGGGCTGTGCTGTTGTATGATCTTGCCGCCGGTTGCCTGCGGCGCCCGAATCACCATCCCGGCAGGACCAGCTGCCAAAATGCTCTGACTCGGATTGAATATACCGCCGTGGCTCTGCACCGGTGTCAACACGTTCTGGCCGTTCACATTCTGTATCTGCAACTGCATGCCGATGTTCCCTGTGTCCTGCAGCAAGGTCGCCGTCCCGTCGGCGGACATCACCATACTTCCTATGCCGGGGACGATGAACTGCTGAATCGTGGGGAAATTTTGCACCATACCGGCAGCGCCGTTCAACAGATTCACCGGCTGCAGAAGATTGATTTGCTGAGCCGGTTGAGGATTCGTGATGATTTGCTGGGCGTTGAACTGGGCCGACGTCGCGCCAGCCTGACCGTTCATTACCAATTGAGCCGGTGCCCCGCCCTTGCCAGGCACGATCGTCAACGCCTGCAACATCGGGCCGCCAATGCTCTGAGTCTGGAAGTTTTGCTGGGCAAAGTTCGACTGCGACTGCATCAGCATGCCGGCGTTCTGTTGGGACGAGGCGATGTGCAACATCGAGGCCACCGTCTGCGGGTTCGCCTTTCGCTTCTTGTACGCTTTCTTCTTGCTCATCGCCGACTCGGGCGACAGCAACGCCGGCTGCCGGTTCACCATTCCTTGGCTCGCGCTCACGTTCCTCGCCACGTCCTGATTCGCGTCCAGAATCGACTGGGCATTTTGTATCACGTTCCCGGTAGCGACCGTCAGATGCGGTATCTGAACGTTCTGGCCGATGCTGTCCATCGTCATGACGCTCGGCTGTATCAGCACGGGTGTCTGAATCGTGTTGACGAGCACCGTGGGCTGGCCAATGACTTGCTGAGCCACGCCCACTGCAGGAATCACCTGGCTGACGGCTCCTGTCACGCTGGTCACCATTGGCGACACCGACAACGGCGGCATCGAGTTCGAGTTGGAAATAATCTTCGGAGGAGGTGGCGCCATCACGCCGTTGATCCCCGATCCCGTGCTGGCCATTATAAGCTGACCACCGTTCGACACTAATATGTGACCGGGAGGCAAAGTCGATCCAGCAGGATGTTTCAATATCCCACCGGAGGTGAGAACGTTGTGAACTTGAACGTTGGACTGAGGATGTTGTTGCGCTGGTTGCTGCTGCTGTTGCTGCTGCTGCTGCTGCTGTTGTTGTTGCTGTTGTTGTTGTTGTTGCTGCTGGCTTTGAGGTTGGATCGGTGAGTTGGTACTGGCCTGAGGCACCTGTATACTACTGACCACGCTTTGAACCATCTCCAACGGCGATTTCGACACGCTTATCGCTATCGATGGCTGACTGCTCGGAAGCGAGGACACGGTGGTAACGGACACGGTAGTTGGTATGTTCGTCAAGGTAGTGGAGGACGCTTGATGTTGCGGCTTGTTCGACAGTATATCGGGTATAGCGGGATTCGGTATCCCGGAAGGTGTGTTTATCGAAACCGTGGCGGTGTTCGCTCTTCCAGCCAGCACCGACGTGATGGTGTTACTGCTAACCGTGTGACCGCTTGCCATCGTCGTTATCACCGACGAGGTACCAGCGAAATGATTCATCGGTACTCTCGAGACCGCGTTCACAGTGTGCGGATGTGGCTGATAACCGTCCAACGACGACTGTCTCGTTGTCTGCCTCTTCGTCATCTGGGACGTGATACTTTCCGAGCCGGAGGTGGATGCTTGCGACGATGCCGCGTTAGAAGGAACTGCGTTCGAGCTCGTTGTGGCGGAACAAGGCGTTTCCGCGCGTTGCTCCGACGCAACGTTGTTCACCGACGACTGCGAGGGTTGCTGAGCCTGAGGAGTTAAAGGTTGACCTGACGGCACCTGGCCGGACGCGGAATGCGACAGAGGTGTCGGTGGTTGCGAGTAACTGTGCGGCGTTGACGGTTGCGACGAGATGAGACTCTGAGGCGTCGCCGGCTGCGACATACCGGGTGTCGACGAAGCTGGCGTGTCCGAGTTCGCTGGACTGTTCGTACCGATCGGCGATCCGTGGCTGGTACTCACGGTACCTCCCTGGATCGGTCTCGAGTCCGCTTGCTGCTGATTGTTCTGATACTGTTCCCCGAACGTGGACGACGTGACAGGATCCTCGCGTTGATCGGAATGCATCAGGTACTGACGTTGCATCTGCTGTTTATACTGATCCTGCACGTACGACTGAGTGTCGGCACTGGTGACGCAGCCTTGGCAGGGACTACTCTCCGAATCTGTTCCACCG